CAAAGAAAGACAGTATTCATAAAGGAATGCCTGGGTGTCCTATTTCTCTTGGCACACAGTGTTTGGATTGATGTTGCTGAAGTATTTATAGGGGGGCGTCCTTTTATCCCATTTTTTCCTTCCGTGCACTTCCTATTACTGCCATAAACAACCTTTATAAATACACTACAATGGTTTTGGCACCCAAGCTGCCCTGTGGAGATAAGCACTGTCGTATACGCATATCACACCAGACTGTTTTCCATTTAAACACCATTACAGAATCCAAAAGCAGAGTGCAAACAGCCGCTCACCTCTCTAACAAACTACATTTCATGGTTTTCAATTAGAGGTAGCATTGTAAAAGGTAAATTATGAGGCTAAAATGTCCACTGCAGTCGCTGTAATTTGTATCCACAGAGGGTGTTTTTTCATCAGTGCAACAAGACAGATAGTTTTAAATTTGACTGCTGTGCAAAATGCCTGTTTCCTTATTTTCTCCATAGCGCTGATAAAAGGCGGGATTGTACACATTGCTGGATGCTTTGTTTACACCGCACCATATGATGTTACATAACTGAGGCTGTTACTGTGGCAACACAAAGACTCCACCCCCCACCCAACAACCTTTAAACACACACATATAAACACACACACACACACACACACGCCCTGCTCAGGCAACAGGACATTCTCCGGACACGTGATTTGACTGCTTGATTTAACGCTCGCTAATACACACTATTAAAGAGATGGCCTCTCTCCGGTGTCAGGAAATGTTTCTCCTGTAAGAGATATATTACAGTCACCAGGAGGGTAAACATCTCCGCTCTGATGGCCCACTCCGGTGTTGTTTGATAAACAAATTAACCATTCACCACATTTTACTGCATGTACTGAAACAATCGTGTTATTTATGGCTGTCCATCAAAGCATAGCCAGCGAAAATGTGATGTCAGCTCTCACCCAAGATTGTGCAGTGCAATGTACATGTTGTCGGTGGCTGGCAGTTTTCATTACTTTCTGTGAGTAATCATCTCCACCAGTTGAATTCAAGGTCAGCGAGGCGCTCCTGCCCTCCTGAGCCGTGCAATAACAACACCAGGCATCGCCGCACAAGAGCTGTCTCTTTGTGTTGAAGGGTATAGCTCTGAGTACTCTCTCAGCTCTCGACGACGTCTCAAAGCACCATTCACACGCCATCTGACAGTTCATCGAACCAGCTTCTGGTTCAGGAGGCAGAAGCTCTGGGCCATCCCCTCTGCTGCATCTGTCAGCAAACTGATCAATTAAAAGTCCCCCCCCCCCCCCCCCCCCCTCCAATAGTTATTTTACTCATCTCCAGTTTCAAAGAAAGATGTCCAGAAGAATAAAGTATGATATCTGCAGTGCTTCTTTATATCTTTTATGGCATGGCAGTCACATTATTGTTGCAGCTTATATAAAGTAAGTATCCAAATCTGTGGAAAGTAACTTGTCAGTTGGTCACTCACACTTTGGTCCAGACTGAAACATCTCAACAACTGTTGGATGAATTGCAATGACATTGAACAGACATTCACGGTCCCCAGAGGATGAATCCTAATGACTTTGGTGATCCCTGACTTCTCATCTAGTGCCACCAGAAGGTCAAACCTTTCACATATTCAGTTACTTCTCAACATCTACTGGATGGGTTGAAATTAACATTAAAGGATGAATCCTAATGCCTTTGCTGATCCCCTGAAGTTTCCCCTCCTGCCACCATGATGAGTTTGACAAATGGTTTTGAGTGAAATTTGGTGCAGACATCCATGTTCCTCTCAGGATGAATTGTGATCACTTTGGTGATCCCTTAGTTTTGCATCTAGCACCATCATCAGGTACAAAATGTCTATTTGTCCAATGTTAGGGCCAAATACCTGCCCAACTAATGACAGTCCAATCAGCCTGCTGTACTTTGTTTAGTGTTAATTATTAAATGTCACTGTGCTGACATGACAAACTAAGATAGTCAACATGGCTTACATTAACATAAAGTTGTCATTGTGAGCTTGTTAGCATCTATGACGTTAGCATTTAGGGTTAAGCACAGCCTCACAGAGCTGCTAGCATGGTGCTAGGCTTTCTCTTTTCATAACTGGTTCCACTAGTGTTTGCAATCAGCAAGGTTCAACTGATTTTTTCTCAGCAAATTAAATGAGATTGAAATAAGGAAAAGGCATGTGTGTACAATGTGTTCACGTATGGTTTGCATGCTCCACTGCAGAAAGAGCATCCTCGTGTACATTATAAACAAATGAAGCCATGAACTCTCGTCTTGTGGACGTCCTTCGGCACGTAGGGATCGTAAAAACTGTCCCAAAACATGCAGCCAGGCACAGATCCAGAGATGCTTATCAGGACAGGACAGTGTGTTTGTGTGTGTTTGAGCAGACGTGATTGTTGGCCCTTAGAGGGGGAACATTTGACAGTATTCCCATGTCATCCAGCAGAGCTGTGCAGTGAATACATGATGGCAAGAGAGCTTCAGCTGCCTTTGTTTCACCTTAAGCAGCAATGAGCAAGATTACATAAACTGTGTATAACTGTGTGTATGTATGAAGTGTGGGGGAAAAGCTGACATTTAAACCAATTTTATGAGGAGATTTTGTTTGTGTAAATCTTCTTGGTTAAAGCTGGAATCCACTCAAGCTAAAGCCACTTTTAAGGCCGAATTTAAGAATTGTACAGCATGTGGATTTGATGTTTAATCAGCGCAGCAGAAGTGGAAAGATGTCGTTAAGTGAAAGATTTTACGCCCTACCCTAATCCCTGGTCAGAAAATCACTTTGCCCAATGCCAGCTTTACACGTAGCACTTCTTGGAAAAAGTATAACTGAGGTAAAACCCGTTTCTGTGTCCTGATCAACCCCAGCGACTCTATTCAGCTCTCAATGCCCTGCAAAATGAGCCTTGGAAAAATAAATTCCCCTTTTTTCACTGTTCCCATGTGACCCACATATTGTCCAGAGGAAAAAAAGCCACTCTTTAATGCATGGCCAACATCCTTCTTCTTTGGGATTTTGTTGCCCTGTGTTGAGTCACTGCCACAGTCTTGGTGCCAATGCATTTACTACAGTCCTGCAGAGTTTCCATTTGGCTGCAGGCACAAACCTGTAGACCCGGGTACGACATCGAGCTGGAGCTGTGACGACATCTCGGCAGCGTCGCTGAGTAGGATGTGGGTTGACGAAGGCCAGACTTAAATCCTGGACACTGAAGTAAAGTGTTTTTGGGAGAAGCCTGGTGTTGTGTCAACATTTCCAGTGGTGTTACCACAGAGGGAAAAATCCCTGCTGTTGGGAAGGCCAGGCTCTGCTAATAAGGGAAAATGCTTTGAGTGTCTACTTATATGACAGTAATACTTGGAGGAGAAGAAGGAGCAGAAATTAGATAATTCCATTCCAGGGTGGAGTAGAAAAGAAATGTTAAAGCAAGTAGCTCTTCTGTTAAATTACTGTTGCTATAAATATGTGTTTGGATATCAGTACTTAAAAACAGGACACTGAAGACATATCATCTGTATTGTTTTTGTATTGTACACGTATGTCTATTATAAATTTGTGTATAAAGTCATACTACTTAAGCTAGCTAGTTTTTTAAATTGCTACATACTAACTCGCGTTTCACTCCGCGACTTTGCGGTCAAGCGGTTGACGATGAGTGAGTGAGTGAGTGAGTTACTAACTCAGTTTCACCATAAAATTTTTTAGAAATGCCTTATAGTAAACACAATGTGTTAATCTGTTGCGTAACTTCCAAAAATATAAATTTTAGGGGATAATCAAGCGTGCATGTTGATCTTTACTGCAATCCTTTCATATTTACATGCATATGTGGAAGAAATATATGATTCATTTAGTATTCACACAATTTAGAATGAATGGGAAATATCTGATTTTGCTGAAGTTATTGATTTTGTAATTTGAGGTGTGTTTTTAAGGTGTGAGGTTAGCTATGTCTACTCTTCTAAACTGGTCGTGATTTAGTATGCTAATGTTAGCTTTGTAAGTTGGTTCAGTTAGCTAGGCAACTGTTACACCTGGCGGCTAATGGGTGTAAAAATAGGCCTAGAATGCTAAATAACCCCATGTCAACCACTTGTAAATGTATGACTTTGTTTTATCAATATATACGGAGAAATATGTGTTAGCCGACATTAGCCAAATATGTTTGTCAGTTGGTTCAGTTGTGTAAAACTCCTCTTAGTAAACAGCGATGCTATGACTAAGTGTGAACTTATAAAGGGTTGGCCACATCACACACTAATAACACTAACACAAATAAAAATACAGTTGGTGGGCTTTTAAAGGCTCATTTAGATCCTTTTTAGACTTAATATCTTCCATTTTGACTGACGTCATGCACAAAAATAAAATACAATTAGGAAAAATGTAAAATAAAGAAACATTTAGAAACATTTGAGTTGGTCAGAGTTGGTGTGGTGTAATGTTGCACAAGATCGCAGAATACTTCTGGGAATACTGAAGTGAAAGTGAAAATGGCTTTCTAAAAAGTGGCATGTGTCCTACTTCTGTTTTAAAAGCAGCTCATGAGAGAACATATGAATGCAAATCATTTTTCCAGACTTTTCCAAAAATGCCCTTTTCTCTATATCTTGACTATGAAACAGTAATTAACATGAAAGTTTCCAACTATCATTGAGTTTGTGCTTTTCAGTACTTCAGTATTTCATGACCTTTTGACACACTGGCAATTCCATCTTTTAAAAGTAAGTATTCGTGATATCTCTGCACTTTCCACTTGTTTGCACTCTGAATGTCTGGAAACATCTACGGGAAGAAGAGGGGTAAAAAACGGAGGGAAAAAATCATGCCAGCTGAATTGTTGCTACTTTTAGTAAGGCAGGAAACAAAGAAACACACTGGGTTTGCTTGGAAAAAATGCTGCATTAGTCGGAGAGGAGGAGCAGGATGCAGTTCCCTAGTATTTCATACATCAGCTGATTTATGAGTTACACACAGCACTTAATAACCCTCAACTGTCCCTGGCGTCAGTTCCTAAAGCAGAGAGCAAAGAGATCCAGGGATAACTCTAGTATCCAATTAACTGATCTATTAATTATTCAGCTGGAAGGTAAATATTTTGTGCTTGACTTGATGATGTACGTTGTGTGATGCTCCTCACCTCAGATCATCAATGATTCTGATTCAGTCCTATTTGTTATGATAAAATGGCCAAATCAATGGCTGAGATTTGGAAATGTGAAATTGCTAAAATAAAAAACACTTCACAGTATTTGGAGGTAAAACTCAAACTGTGATGGATGTTTACAAACAGTTTACATAATAATTATAGCCTTTTGCCTTTGTTAACTTCTTTTCTGAGTTTCACATTTACGGTATCATGGTTATTCACTTTCTTGCTGAGAGTACATGGGAAGATTGATACCAATCTCATGTCTAAAAACTGGGGAATCCTGGCTCTGTCTAAATGTAACACATTTTGCTGCCTAACAGCATCTGTAAAGCTCAATGAGTTACAAGTCATGTCTCATTTGATTAATCCATATGAAAACTAAAGCGTAAAAAAGTTGTGGTTTAATAAAGGTTATGTCTCTAAACATTTATTGGACGAGAGCAGTGACTTCCTGCAGTGTCATTGTCAGCACGAGGCTGACAGAAAACCACTGAAAGCTCAGTTTTAGCACGGATTAAACAAACAGCATATCACATGTTAATTAGTAAACATTAAAGGCAGGGGTATTTTGTTATGTTCACCTTCCCTGTTTCCAATCTTTCTGCTATGTTAAGCTAACCAAAGACATGAAAGTGGTATCTGTCTTCTCATCTAAGGCGAATTTTCCCAAAATGTCAAATTATTTCTTTAAAGAGGGGAGGCCCAGCATGCATACCAGGGACAACATACAAGTCAGACTGAATTAAGAAATCTAAAACTTTAAGATACTTAAATGCAAGGACTGTGTGTTCCTGTATTTGTCTTGTTAAGTTTTAGCTGGTTGAATTATCTTGATTGGTTTGGATCGATTGATTAAACTGGGTTTTTTTTGGTTTCTTCATCCTTCAACGATACTGCCTTCTGACATTAATAAGGAAACGAAACCACCTAGGTCACTGTTGTTGACATATGAAATACAGTGTTTCCCCAAAGAGACCCGAGTGTGAAACCGGTTACTTCTTACTGTTTGGGTCGCGCAGAAAGTACTTTCCCTGACACTGTCAATATCAAACTAAAACTGCAACTATATAACAAATTATATTGTCAGTCCATTTCTTCCTTCCCGTCAACCTCAAATGTTAACATTTTTTCATATTTCATCTCTTTTAAATATGAAATAAAATATTTTTAAAAGGCGTTTTATGCAATCTTTGATAATCTTCAGTGGGAATAAATCACTCAAATTTGAGCACTGCGGACTGGAAACATGGGGTTTTAAGTCGTTTAAGCATATTATCTATAATCAAAATCAAACGGAGGCTTTCCCCAGTGCTGCTCTCTCACATCTTTACAGCCCTCTTGATATGACTGCTGGCAGCTCTGGCTTTCATGTGTTTTCTTTATCTCTCTGATAGACAGACAAGTTAAAAATGAACAAAAACAACCATATCACTTGAGTCTTCTCATTGGAAATTGTTTTAGGATGATGAAGCATACATACTGGATCATGTAAATAGAACAGTGTGCTGGCTATAGTGTTCTGTTAAGGACTGCAGTGGAGAATCATGCAGTTGTGACTGTGTCCTAAGCTCTCTTCCGCCCCCTGTGGACAAAACAGAAAAAAACCCTATACCAGAACTTTGTACACTTGGCTTTGAGAGTATTCACTATATTAATATTAATAACAAATAATAGAGATCATTTTCAGTCCTTTACCTGATAGAAACACATCACAAATTCACAAAAAACATTTTGTGGAGGCAGTTTTGCAGCATGCACAAAAACTCCCCAAACAGACAACTAAGTAAATTTATATAAGGTACTTGCACTTTCAATTGTACTCCACTTAACTGCTTGATGTGTAAATAAGCTGTTCACAACATCCATTTCAGTGGTGATTATTTGTCAGTGTTGTTTTTACAACTGTGACAAAAAAATGTGGCTTAAAATGAATTTAAATTGAACTGACTCTGGTATATTTGAAGAGAAGTAACACTATCCTCCTCCAACTCCTGGGAAAATGTTCAGCACATCCTCCTGTTTCCACTTCTGCTCTGTCACTGTGACAATCTGATCTTTCTCCTCACTTTCTGTCATATTTTGATAACTTCCTTGAGAAGCCTCTGGGCCGTCTGTCAGTTTATTCTCACTGCTGCAACTGACTGATTTAACACTCAAGTCCAAATTCTAAGGTTCATCCACTCAGAATCGAGCATCAAATTAATCCGTAAACATTGGTGATGGGTTCTAGGGGGCTCGCTTGGGTATAAGAGCTACCCCTCAGTTGACTCCCACATTAATGAATTATACATGCCTCGCATCACACCTCCCACGCGCCAGCTTATGTAATGTCAGCCACGCGTGGAGAATCGTACGCGTGTATGAGTGTCTATGTGGATGTATTTATATCCAGACTGGGATTGAGGGAACAGTGACTCATTCTCTTTGCACTTTATTTTTACCCCACAATCTGCCCACCCACCTATCACCTATTTCTAAGAAGAAGAAGAAGAAGAAGAGTATTAGTTTAGACATTTCCCTATTGTACAATGTCGTTATAATATCACTGCGTCTTCTTTAACACAAACCAAAGACATGTTTTCCCACAGTGATGTTGAAAATAAATATAATAATGTAGGATCATTTCCTCTCATATAAGCAATGGATCTAAATAGATCACATTGTTTCCGGGAATGTCTTCTACAGCCTTTCCTCCAGAAACATGAGAAGTGAATCAAATAATTGATTATATATGTCAAACTTCCAAGCACTGCTTTCTTCAATTAAAGACTAAGCCAAAACATGTCCAAAGCTAATGTTTTTCTATGTCAATTTAGATTCTTTGAACATAAAATGTGAGCAGGCCTAAGGATGAAGGATTTAAAAGAAACTACTTTTGGCATTTTGAGTCACTGGGCATTCACTGAGCCAAACAATTTCAGCAGTTAATACAGTTTTAGAAGTAAAACCCAAAGCTACTTCCCATAGCAGCTTTGAGACTTTTGCATTGTTTAATATCTGCTTTTTATGACTGTAAATCACAATCATCGCAATAAAGTTAAATACATCTTATAATAATACATAAAACTCACCTGCTTCCATGCAAGGAATCCTCACGATTACAAGATTATTGACCTTTTTTTTTTACGTTTAAGTTTACTTAAAGTTCACAGAAATAATAGAACTTTGAACATTTATAACACATAACAACTAAGTAAACTTCAAATGCTGTACAAAACCGTGTGACACTGTTGAAAGCTCCAGAACAAAAACACTTAGAGATCACACACTTCCCCCCATGTTTTCAGTTTTGCACGAGGCACAACTCGCAGGCGTTGTCCAGATGTAGGGATAGAAGGCGTTAGCAGTTCACTAATTTACTCTGGAGCAACAGAGCCTTATAAACGATGCGGAATTGAACTGAATCCTGATTTTAATCAGAAGCCAATTTTAGTGAAATCAGGTCTTAGAGAGTAATCTTGCTGCAGAGTTTTGGACTAAGTGGAACAGATTCTTAGCGCAGGAATAAAGAATAAAGAGCATTAAAGTAGTACACAAGACGATACAAAAGCAGGAATATCCATTTCCTACTGCCGGGAAGATAACAGTGGCTGTATTTTTGCTAAGTAGCAGGACTAAATAACAGTCTTGACATGTTTATCAAACTTCGGCTGGTAGTCAATGATTTTTGGAGAAAGATTTAGTAAGTGATCCATGGTGTTGAAGGATGTTAGGAGAGACCTGAACCAAAACCAGAACTTCAGTTTAACTGAATCAGTTACTAATCTCAGCCAGACAAATACCGATACGGATTCCCTCATAATTCAAATTTAGTCATATGCTAATGTACTATAACCCCCCGCCCCCTTTAAGATTTAGTAAAATTATACCAATATCTGTGATCACATGATTAATCTAGGAAATCAAGAGTGGCTCATCTTCCCACACAGCAAACACACAGTGACATATACTCCATCCCTTTCCTACACTGCCTCTGAAAAGAACTGATCAGATTTGGTGCATAGTCACTGCAGTCAACACAATCCAGCGTTATGTTTTAATACGTGACTCTACACCTGCCTGAAACTCTCTCATCTGGTGCTTAGCAACCTGCAGGCTCAATTCACACCTGCCACCACATCACTGTGACATTCCTGCTCAGTACAACTGCGCTAATCGGCATTCACTTCCAAACCAACACTGGCGGAAAGGTTAGCGTCGCAGCCAGCAGACTGAGAGTAATGGCTGGGATAAAAGTGCCCATATTCCTCCCCTTGCTGAGTGAAATACATGATGGCAAATGAAGCCCAAATCAGCAGCGACATCTCAGTGGTTGCTTGTTACCACCACAGACCCACCGTGCACTATCAAAATGTCAGGGCATGGGCCTGGCAGGAAGGCTGAGGTCCGGGCTTGCAGGTCTGGAGGGGGCATGATAGGGGTCCACTATTGTCCCCTCTATCTTGAAGAATGCCATCCTCCCTGTCTGTGGCATTTAACTTGTCAGCCACGTGATACACTGAGGTGGGGCCAAAAGGGTGGCCAAGGGTGGTGTGCCCCCCCCCGACAGTGAGTCAGACAGTGAAAGGTACTTGGCTTGTTAGTATCACAGCTGGATTACTGAACATGCTTACCAGGTTCAGGCCCAGAGGCCCGAAGGAGACACAAAGCGCCCACAAAGAGACACTAAAGAGATGCAAAACGACCACAAAGAGACGCTAAACAACCAAAGACACACTAAATGGCTGCAAAGAGACATAAAAGAGATGCGAAACAACCACAACCACAGGGACAAAATTGATCCACAGAGAGACACAAAAGAGATGTGAAACAACCACAAAGAGATGCCAAATGACTGCAGAGACACAAAACGAACACAAAGAGACACAAAAGAGATGTGAAACAACCACAAAGAGATGCCAAATGACTGCAGAGACACAAAACGACCACAAAGAGACACAAAAGAGATGCGAAACAACCACAACCACAGGGACAAAATTGATCCACAGAGACACAAAAGAGATGCAAAAACATCACTAAGAGATGCTAAATGACTGCAGAGACACAAAATGTTTATACAGAGACACAAAACAACCACAAAGAGACACAAAATAAATGTGAAACAACCACAACCACGGGGACAAAATGGCTTCACAGAGACACCAAACAACCACAATGAGACACAAAAGAGATGCAAAAAGATCACAAATAGATGCTAAGCGACCACAAAGACATTCTAAACTACTGCAGAGTCACAAAATGGCTACAAAACAACCCCAAAGAGACACAAAAGAGATGCAAACACACAAAGATATGCTAAATGACTACAGAGACACAAAATGGCTAAAAAGAGACACAAAACAACCACAAAGACACACAAAAGATGTGCAAAACGACCACAGGGAGACACTAACGACTACAGAGACACAAAATGGCAACAAAGAGACATAATATGAACACAAAGAGTTTCTTAAAAAGTTTCTTAACCTGGGCATGATGTTACATAACTGTTCTGATAGGATGTTGAGAGATAAAGCAGGGACTGAAGAGCAGGGACGACAAACATTTTTTTACAGTGGGAATACATTATTGATGAGGATGAGGCTTTTTTATAGCACAACTCATTTGGATCAAGAAACCACCCGACACCGTGCAGTTATAACTGATGCACACACATTACATAACAGAGCGGTGGAGTGGATGAAGGAGGAAATCCTTTAGTCTTGTGTCTGAAAAGCATCTGCCATGCTCAGTGTGCAGCGTGATGCTATCTCAGCTGCGAGGCTGTCTTATCGTCACACTGTGTCAAACGTGTCCTCCTCAAACACACACATCGCATCTAATAGATGTTCTCATCACGACATCTAATCACTTTTGTCCATCTGAAAAATTCTACCAGAAGGGAAAGAAAACGAAATGCTTTTCAAAGCACATTAATTCCACGGATGGAGAGCAATTCAGCATATGTGAACCTGTTTGCCAAAAGGTTTTAGAGGCAGTTACCAGAGTTCAAATCCCAGCAAAAACAAGTCAAGTTTATGTTTCACATCCTCCTGGATGACCCTCTTAGCTGTCTTCTGTCTGATGTTGTTTTCAGACTGCTGTGTTATGAACATCACTGTATGTTCTCCAAAAGGAAAAGCTGATGAAACAGGAGTGCATTCCTCTCTTGTCGCTTTCACAGTCAAATAAATGTATGAGGCAGGTAACAGCTTAGTGTGATTAGGAGAAGTTTGATCTGATGGTGGCGCACGAGGAAAGTTAACAGGACACCAACATCAGGAGGCTACTTTGTGTGGAGAACATCTATGTGCACAGGAAAAATGGCCATCAGTTTTCCAGAGAGTTTGGTCACAGACAACTCTGAACTCTATCAAAATATGATCGAAATAATTAACAATTTTAAAGATTGTTCTACAATAAATATATCAGTACGCTTGGTAAAAGTGTGTTGTAGTTGCACTTAGGTAAGAGAGCTATCTCAAACAATACTTCAATCTTCAAAGCATATTGGTATCTTACAAAGGTCCAGTCTTTTTACTACAACGTTTTAGGACAGTAACCCAATACACAGAATTTTTCTATAAAAATAATAACAACTTCGGTGAATTTGGTGAACTGCTGAAGCCTCATTTTAGCTCCGGCTGAACACAGGATGACTGTGGATTTTGTCCCTCATCTCTAACACTGGAATCGCATTAAGAAGGAATCTCTTCACAGACAGTACGGACAGCAACAAATTACATTTGCATTACATTGACTCATTTGGCACACTTTTATCCAAAGCGACTTACATTTGAGGAACAACATACAAGCATCAATAAAGCATCAATAAAGTAAGAGATCTACAAGTGACACTAAATACTAGTAAGAGATAATAGCACGTATGGGTAAATACCTAGGGAAGTAAGAGTTACCAAATAGTGCAATCAATACAAGAGAATTGTAAGGAGATAGAAGAAGAGCACAGGAAGTGCATGTTAGAGGTGTTATAAGAGGAAGGGTTCTCGGAAGAAATGAGCATTTTCAGAGCTTCTTGAAGTTGGAGAGGGACGCCTCTGCTCTGATGACATGTGGCAGCTCGTTCCGCTATCGGGGTGTCACAGATGAGAACAGCCGGGACTGAGATTGCTTTGTGTGAAGGGATGGCAGAGCCAGGCGGCGTTCGCTGGAGGAGCGCAGTAGCCGACAAGAAACCTAAGCTTGTATTATGGAGTTTAGGTAGAAGTAGTCACTCTGTGTGCAAGCATTAGTGACAAGAATTTGAAACCTGTTTGAAAATTAGTCTCTGAGTGTAAACAAGTAGCCTTGAAAAAATTGTGAACCTATCATTTTACTAGGATATCATTAATTTAGTGTCTGTGGCCTTTCTGTGTGGACTTAATGCATACACAGATAGATGGACGTGTCAGTCAACTGTTGTACCTGGCGACTTTACATTGATGTCAATTTCTTCTTTGTAAATATATGTCACAGATGTGATGTGTGCACCTGTTTCAACAACACTCTGGAGACATAATACCTGAATAAAAACACAGTAACCAGAAAAACCAGTACACCTTCTGCAGACCACTCACCCTGTTCATCTTTTATTCCTCCAGTTTGAGCCACAGCACTGCAAGCCTCAGATGCTTCAGATGGGGTGACAGGCCATCACTCCCACTGTGCCACAGGTGAATATAATGCTAATGCCTCGATTTACAGGGGATCATCACTGCTTGGATCGGATATTGACTTGCTAAATGATTGATGGGCTCTCTGACTCAGTTGTCAGTCCCAGCGGCTCGGTGGATGAATCACTGTGGGGATCCCTGTGGGTGATGCAAGTCGGAGTTGGACAATAGGCAGCTACTGAGTGAGGGATGCGATGCTGCTCTCTTGTGGCTAAAACAGAGGCTAACAATTGATGTGCGTCTTTGAAAGACCATAGTTGTCCAATTCCATTCATTAATCCAGAAACATACAGTACAGTCCTTTGAAATCTCATGGCTGTGAACCGATCCTAAAGCTGTTGTCTTTTGATTCTGGGTCTCATTTTTTCTTTTAGATAGCGGGTTGTAACCAAAATCTACCAGTTTTGTTTTGACATCAATGTTTCTTTGGTAACAAGACTAGAATCTACAGAGAGATAAAAGCTGCGGTCCAAAATGTGTTTTAATCTTCTCTTGTGCTGAAGTAGATGTTTTAATCAGCCAGATGTTTGCTACACACAAATAATTAGCAAGTAATGCCATAGGCATTCTTTAATGCAGAAAATGTTCAGTCATTTCCTTCTACTATTGATGAAGTGTTAATGTAAAGATATAAGCCTTTTAAACCTCAAAATACAGTATGTAGTAGTAAAGTAAGTCAGTAAGTACGTTTATGTTAGGTGTAAAATCACAAGGTGTCTCACTTCAGAAAGAGGAGATAGTAACAAAATATAACATAATATAATAAAAATATAAAAATATATATCTATATATAAAATATTAAACAAAAACGCATGAGCTACATATGGTTCTTGGTTTTAATCTTTATTTACTTGGGTTATTACCTGAAAAATTAAGATGTTTTTATTTATTGTTTTAATTATTAAATTTAGTTAATCAGAGTGTCAGCATGTTTGATATTTTCGAACATGCAAAGCAGCACTGAACACAAAGTACAGCTGAGGCTGATGGGAATGTCAAGGTATTTTGAACATATTTATCATAAACTGAAGTACCTTAATGGATTGAATCTGATGGTGGAACTAGACAAAAAGTCAGGGGATTACCAAAGTTATTAGGACATATCCAGTGGGGATGACATTACCGTCCCTAGACCTTTGTTGCTTGTATAGCTAAAAAATCAGGGCGCTGAAGAATTTGTTTATGTAAAGATCCTGCCTCAATTTTTCAAAGTTTATAAGGCCCCATATTTAGAAGTTTCAAGGGTTCCTGGATTCCTGCTCATCAAAGTTCACAGTCCTTCCTACATCACAGAGTGCGGTCTAGACCTGCTCTTTTATGAAAAGCGCTCTGAGATAACTGTTGTTGTGATTTGGCGCTATATAAATAAAATTAAATTGAATTGAATTGAATTCCTGTCTGGTGCTGGAGACATAGCCGGAGAATCAAGGCTGTCTGCTGATGCTTGTCCCACTGTCTCTCGCACGCGACCACTGTTGGTCAAGACAATAGTCCCTCATCAGAAAGTAATCATCGACGAAGGAGGAACCCGGCAGGGGGTCCTTCATTGTTCTTACCGAAGAGGAGAAGCAGGGGAGTGTCTCTGCAGAACAATGGTCTCATCATCAGACACACAGGACAAGGAGGTAACTTCCGAAATTAATTTTATTAATTGTGACTAAATTTCCTGTCATCTGAATTACTTTCAGTTGTTTACCTATTTGTAGTTACACATCAGATCACTGCAGTCACCTCTTTCTCTTTGGCTGACACTTCAACTCCTTTCAGTGTTCACACTTAGACACTTTGAGCAACAACAAAAACATGTCTTCAGCTCCTCAAATTTCCACTGTTCATACACAATTGCAATTAAACTGATAGTTTAAGCACAATTGATCCCCTTCACTACACCTCAAAACTGTTCATTGAAAATTTATTCCAACTGCTTTCAGTGCTAACACTTTTGGGTTAATATATTAGAACTGGCACTCAATTTATCACATGCACTTTGACTGACATTTCTACTCCTTTCAGTCCTTGAACTTCTACTGAATCTTCAACTCCTTTACTCTTTTCTTTTTAACTGACATTTCATTGACTACACTTCAAATCTAGGTCTCAGGTATTCACATTTGATTTGCACGTCAAAACTTGCACTTTGACTCATACTTCAACTTCACTCAGTGCTCACACTTACTGTGACACTTCAGCTTCTTTCAGCACTTCCATTTTAACTACTGTTTCACCTTCTTTCAGTATTCGCCACTTCACCTTCAACAGCTACTTTCTATTCTAGTACAATATAGTATCTATGTATAATCTTAAATTAGAAAACCTTAATACCATAATACACTATCAGCTGCTGTAATTATTATGATCATCAAGCCAAAAACTGTGAATGGTCCTTGAAATCACATCAAGGAGCCTAAATTTGGAGTCACTGGAAAACTACAAAGAAATAAAGTACATTTTTGGCATTCCTTTGACTGTAAAAGTGCTCCAGCCTTATTTGGGTTTCATTGTGTTGACACTGTAGGAGAATACGTTCCATGTTTGGGATTTAACAGCCCAGGAAGTCTACACGGAGGAAACCCCAGACAGAGATCACAGCTTCGTCCAGACGGCAGGCGCTGCTCTGACAGCGGGCAGAGCCTCTGATGGAGACTGGCCTCATGAACTGTTTGTCTGTTGTCTGTGCCTTATATACTGTACATTATGAGCAACTGGAGTCAAGTCTGCGAGCACAAAGGCAAGGTCAATAATGTGAAGTGATCTGTCGGGTCAAAAGACTTGGCCTGGTTCCAGTCATTGTTGAAGGAGTGTTTTTTTTCAAAGCAAGCATGCAATCCCCTTTTCTGCACTCACGCTCAACTCTTGAGTATTTCCTGTGGAGGAATCAATAAGACAATCGCAGCGAGTGGCTCAGTGGTCAGCCTGAAGACGTGATTCATGATTGAATGTTTGGAAATGCAAAGTGGCTGTGACAAACTGTAAACAAGATAATTGCTGTAAAAATTTCCAGAGCACCAAGGACATTTTTCTGGAAGTTTTGCCTCTGCGTTTCTGTCTTGGAAACACAATGACATAACGGAGATTTGGACAGCTGAGGCCCTACAAATCCAGCATTAAAAACCAACAAAACTTTCTTTTTGAACACAAATAACATCTTTCTCTGGAAGATTCATCAGCTGATATTTTCATGAATGTAGACACTTTTCACAGCAATGATTGCATTTTTTAACTTTATTTATCTGCCCCTCAAAATCTCATACTGGCTTCAAACATCAAAAGCATACACGTTTTCTTTTTTCAGGGATATTTTAAAAATGAGGAAGTATTTGATTTGATGGTTACATTAATGATTAATGAAAAAATAAATTTAATAAATTTTACTTTGATTAGTATTAAAATAAAACCACATCACCGACCTATCTGACTACACCTGATGGAACCACATGATGATCACCTAAAATCTGAAGTATTTACCAGTATAGTATGCTATTGTTATAATGTCGATGTGCACATCAATAACAAAATGCAGGAGGGGTTACCACCATGTGTAGTAGTTTATATTTCTTGTAAGGACTGGGACTTCTATAATATTGATTGACAGATTGACAGTCTGACCTAAAGTAAACAAGAATTTAGCTATTTTATGCTAAGTTCACAGGAATCTTCTTACAGGCAAACGAGATGTTTGGTTAGCCAACTAAGTCTATTATTCTTCTCCAACTTGTATATTTTGTCAGTTTCATATTTTTATATTTATATTATGTCTATTGTTACACACCTTGTCACCGCAGCAAATTACTTGTAAGTGTAAAATCTGCTTAGCAAGAAAGCTGTTCCTGTTTTTTTTATTTCTCTCCTATTCATCTGCAATATTAATTATTGTTAATTAATAATTATTACTTAGTGTTTGCTATACGGTTCTTCTTTGACTTTACATTTTCCAACCCTTGTAGAGATTTGGGAACTCCAGCATAAAAATAATACCAGCTGGCTAATCAACTGCAACGTTTAAAATTATTTCGGAAAGCTTTAAGGCTCGTGCTACTTGCTCCCTTATATGTTTATATGCTGGAATTGCATTTCCCGAATCTGTAAGAGGTGGCAAATTCAAAGTTAGCATGAGCCAAACAAACAGCTTGAAAAATATCAGAATTTTCTTTTTTACGGAAAATGAGGCACAAATTCTGCATGGATAAAGGCTTCACATGCAGTGATTCAATGTCATTTAAGGTCAGATAAGCGCATAAACATAATTGTGTACGGTACACGCATGCATTTTTCCAAGTTTCATCATCAAACACTCGTTTACCAAAGCTGCGTTCCCTGGCCTCTTATGGAACATGTCCTGCTCTCATAGCAGCCCCTGACCTCTTATCAGCTCTGCTCAGCCTTTCTTTCTTATTGGTAATAAAACCACCGTCCGCATAGCTGCTGATGAGTGGAAACCAGGAGCACAATCACAGGCTCTGTTCTCTGCCATTAAAGAATAAAATAACAAAAAACAAGGTGATAACAACTCAAGACCTTTGTCCTTCCAAACCCACAAGCATGCTGATTAAATTCCATCAGAGTTATTCATAGCCACCCCCCGCCCCCCGTCCTCCTCTCAGTGTTATAAGCATTTCACATTCAGCAGCATAGACAACTGGCTGTGCTGAGGTTGGGAGATTTTATCCCAAAAAGCCTTAAAAAAGTAGCCGGCGGTCAAATCCTTTCAAACAAGGGAGGAAAGCACATCACACGGCTGGAATAGCAACAAAATGTCAAATCAGATATGAGAATAAGCAATTGTGTCAGTGTTTGAATTTTGTTTTTGTTCAGTCGTGGAGACTTGGGTACAATCAAAATGTTTTAAGAGGTCCTGCCCCTGTCATTACAATGATGAGGCATCACGTACTGGAAGGTTTTTTTGGGTATCATACCACCAAATGAAAACAGTCAACTTCCTCACAGCCGGGGGCAGACAAAACACAATTTCTGCTTCTCTAAAAATGGTTGGCTGCAGGAGAGCACGTACAGTTGCTGAAGTGAAGTGCCTGAGTGGCTGTGCCAGGAGGACTGCAGAAGCATGCTGACCTCCTCTCTGATGATTTCCGTCTGCCCCTGGTGCCACCAGGAGACGAGACATGAATGAAGAGGATGCTTCTGACCCTGAGGACAATAGAAAACAGATAAACTGGGCTTTGTGGTGCCAGCTTGATGCGGTCCTCTTGTTGCATTCACAAACGGCAAACACAACAGTAACTAATACTAATGAGTTTGAGTCATATTTACAGACAAGTTAGATGGGATGCTAGATGGGCAATTTCTGAGATGGAAATTCTGTTCAAAAGTTAAATACTTGACTGTTTCTTTGCTTTTAATAAATCAGTAAAGAGCAAGATTTTTCAATATTTTATGTAACTTTCAGAACGTCAGAGTTTATGTAAATCACAGGCAAGATTATCTGTTTATTTCATATTGTCAATATATCAACTTTATGTTCATACCATGGTAAATTCCACATACATGTAAATTACTACTTGGCAATAAAGAACTTTCTGATTCTGAAGAGTTCATACCTTTAGATAATTTTAGCCATGCTAATGCCTTGGTTCTGTTGATCACTCCACCACTTTCGTTCAGTTTGAAAGTGCTCAACAGCTAACGGATAAAGTGTGGTATACATATTCAATGTCTCCAGAGGATGAATCATAATAACTCTGAGTTTTGCTAAGATGCCAAACATTGTCAACATTAAACCTGCAGAGCTGCCAACTTTTCAATTTAGCGTGGGGTGAGGTTTGGTCTCGCTGAGGTCGATGCATTTTATGAGTCCGCCTTCTGTGTCATTACTCACCGTCGGTGAGTCATCACTCTTTTATCCTCACAAATTTAGTTTCAAAAGGATATATAGATGAAAAGCCAAGTCAGTAATCATGGTCAGATCAGTGATCAGCATTCATGCCAACTTCCAGACATCATAGCCTAAACTAGGAGACCGAATAACCTGGTATCTGGGAATCTTCCCCCCCAAAACTGTGTGTCAAAGCTGAGACTGTTTTTCTTTCATTATAGAGAGTTTATGGAGGTTTGTAGTTGTTAAAATGCAACAGCGTAGGTTTTCCTTTAACAATAGAGGGGACGCTTATGTAGTGGGGGGTCTGGGTGACCTCCCCCACAAAATTGTGAAGATTAAACATATAATTTTCTGCATTCTGGTGGATTTTTTCTTGCACCAATTTATGGTGATTTTTTTATGTGAAGGGGAACACAAAATTCAGGCAGAAGGTGAATAGAAAACACAACGTAGCATTAAATGGAAATACCTAAATAAAGTACATCAAACTTGACTAAGTAAACATGTAAATGTACTTCGTTATGTTACTTAAACACTATTAGATACTTTTTATCAAGCAATCCAGAGCCATCATCAGATAGGAGAAGACGAATAACTCCCAAATCAGCTTATCAACTTTAAATAAATCATCTAGTAAACAATGGAACAATGGAAACTGCAGCATTGCTCACATTAAGGCTGATTACTACACAGCAGATTTTATAGTCTTTGAATAGCTGATATACCGTATCTCCTTCCAAAATTTATCTGAAAGAATTCAAATTACTCTGCTGAATGTGGACTTACATAGAAACTCTGTTGTCTGCTCTGTTGACTTTATTACCCTGACAATCCTCAATTAATGAAGGATTTCCATGCTCTTTCACCTCTAAAGTAAGATTGGAAAGAGGAGGGAGGTGATAGATGGGAGCAGACAAAAACCTGAGAGGAGAAACTAAAGAGGAAGCCAGAAACTGGAGGGAAAGTGATGGGAAACCACAAGGGCCCAGAGGAGGAAGACAATGGATGAAAAGGGGGGAAACAGGTCTTACAATGTTTTCACCAGGGATCCGTTAAACGTTAATGTAGAAAGTGAGAAGGCAGTAAAGAATGGAAACAACACTCCTGAGCGTTTATACTGCAAAAGATGTTTATTTCAACTGAATGTTGAGAATGTACAGGAGAACAATTTGTACATAAATAGGCAATAGTTATAAATATCAGCAGTTTGGCTGGTAAAAAATTAAAAAAGAACATATTGTACATTATCTACAAGTGCCACTTTGGATTTTGTACAACATTGTGTCTTGTGGGATTGTCCGTATAGTCCATTCACACGTTATCTGCGCTGCACTGCACATGCAATCGCAGCAGTACACAGTATGTGTCCGGGGGGAATATGTGGCATTTGGATGACAGTAGACTGAGGGGGCAGCTTTAGTTATAAGCCTATGAAAAAGACAGGATTATTGAGCTGGGCGTCTCGCTGCAGTGCGATGGCATTTTTAAAGTCTAGAGGGGATTATTAGTTGCTGGGTGTCTCCTTAGATATTGCAGTACACACACACACACACACACACACTTGCGGTGGCTGAATCACAGAACCTTCAGCGGAAAAAAACAAACAATATTCATCATGACTGATCATGGCACTGGGTGTGAATACTCCAACTGTGTGAATATCAAAATAGTATCCATTGGTTAGTTTGTTCATATCCGCTCATATTGGTTACACTTTTATCACACTTCTGGTGAAGACTTTTTACACATTGGCTATATACAGCTCAGGAAGTAGAGTAAGTGCACTGATCTAACAACTTCAGTCCAGTTCTTGCAGTTTAGTTGGCAGAAAAGTCATTTCTAACACATCAAATAAAAAAGGTTTCCAACACATTATGTAAGACATTGTTCAGTGAGCTGCTCCTCTGAACACAGCGTCACTTATAATTAGGTTTTCGCTCTTTCTGACAATTAAGCGGTCCAAAAAAGGAATATGAACAGCCCCCTTTAATGAAAGAAAATAAATTAAGATCCTGTTCTACTACTCACATGCACAACCGCACAAACCGACACAGTATACAACAACACCACTCACATTGTCACGTGTCTCCTATGAATCATACAGACAAACATGCAGAAACGGCCCCACAAACAGCTTCACAGAGATATCATTGCTATGACAGCAGGTGAGTCATCAGGAGCAACTCACATTTGGTCCCTGAAATTGAGCTAAAACATTCAAACAGGTAGTACGGACAATGTGCAGAGCGTTCAGTGGATAAAAAGGGGGGTTTCAGACGACTTCTCTATAATTTGGGGGGTGGGGGGGTAGGATAGAAAACATTTATTGTCAAATGTCTGTAACAAAACACTCTGTAGCACTTTCATAATTTTAAAATCCACACTCATCTTCAGGCTGCCACTTCATTTCTGTGCAATATCGCCCTCTTTCGGCGCTAAGCTGGTACTGAAGGTGAGTTGTGTCAATTACATAACTCCTATAAATACACAGCGCTTACCTTTAGAGCTACAAACCCACACAGCACACATACTTGACGACACAAACATCTTCTTTTTTTTTTTTAATCAACTGTGGTTTTCTGAAGTTACACCACAAATCTGGGGGCCATCTGATACCGGAGCCAATGTGCAAATGTTTCTAAAAACGGAATAAAAACGAATAAATTGTGGCTGTGATAACAATTAAATGAGACAAAGAGGTTAAATAAAGCTAGGATGTGAGCGATACTTTGGTATTACAACCGAACCCCTGGGTTTAGAGCTGTGCACAAGAGAATCTGTTTGAATTTTGGGAGGACTTATGGGCCAAGTAATGAGCATTAAAATCAGTCTTCCTTTTCTTCAATCATTGAAGAACTCAAACTGATGCATCAACACCATAAACCTTTTCGAGTAAATACAGTAACTTCAAGCACATTCTTCATCTTTTACAGTTAGCTTTACCAAAAAGCTGATCAGTGTCTATTGTAACTGATTTCTGTGTATAATAAGTGATTACTGGATTGGGATCACACCAGAGTAGTATCATCGCACACTGTGCTAAAACAAGGCAGATTAATTTCAGTGCAATATGCAACATTAAACTTAAGGAGCATGGGTTAATAAACAAAACAAAGAAACAGAGGGAGCCATAGAAAAATGGCTGCCTGAGCAGCAGAATCTGTCTGACCTTCTCCGGGGAGGGATGGCTTTCCATGGGGGATTTTATGCTGTAGCAGTGCAGAGGACGTTAGTAATGTGACGGGGGCCGAGAAAGGCTGGATTCCAAAGTTATTACAGAGAATGTGCACTAGGACCAACAGACTCTCAATAGTTTGTCTGAAAATATATCAAAGATGAAACTCAAGCAGCAAAACAACTCTTTTTATTACCAGTACATCTTTCTCAAAACCTGAATAGGAGGACCCTGATCCTGATCTTACGCTAACCAGACCTGAATCAAACCAGCTCAATGTAAACCGAACCATGTTTTGGGAAATATGCTTAATGACTTTGTTGTTGAGAGTTAGAGGAGTACATTAATAACACTCATGTCTGACAGTTAGCCTAGCTTAGCATAAAGACTGAAAACAGGGGGAAACAGCTAGCCCGGCTCTGTCCATTGGAAACAAAATCTGCATACCAGCACCTCTAAAGTTAATGGATTAATGCGTTGTTTCTCGTTTGTTTAACATGAACTGTAAAAATATCAATTTGCTGTTTTACGGGGGGTTATGTGGTGGATTTTATGATACATAATTATCAGGCAAATAACCCCTGTAAAGCTGCAAATTGCCGTTTTTAGACTAAACAAACTAAATATACAAAGTGTTAATGAGTGAGCTTTTGAGGTGCTGGTTTCACACAGCCAGGCTAGCTGTTTCCAGCCTTAATGCTAAGTTAAGCTAACTGTCTTCTGGCTGTAGCTTCACACAAAGTGGCATAAATTTTCTCATCTAACTCTCAGCAAAATAAGCATATTCCTGTCAAAAGATTTCTTTAACTCCAACTGGCATTCTCATTGGCACACAATCAGTCAACATTTCATCAAACCAAATGTAGCACTGATGCTGGTTTTCTCCTCCACGTCTCCTGATTTCACACCTCTTAGGTAAAGAGCGTCTCCAACGTTTACAAAGTGCAAAATTCAAAGCTGCATCTTGCTCGTGAGTTAGATGGTTATAAAGCTGAACCATCCGAGGAACAGGAATGATCATGATAATCTTGAACGTTGTAAAGACCTTGAGGTGAGGCTGACGTCTAATACTGAAGAAATTGCGTTTTTGCTGATGAACACTTTTGGGTCGTCACTCCCTAAACATGCCTTCATTGCTCTACTTTTGTTCTCACGCTGATCACCAAAGGAGATCGTCAGATCATCATTACATGTCGTCACTCTGCTGTTTTTGAAAAAAGAGGTTTGTTTTTTCCCAACTTTGCAACAGAAAGCCTTCAGGAGTCAGTGGCCACAAAGGCATCTGGATGTACCAGAGAAGGCTGTTGGCACAAAGAAGTGATGTAACTCTGAAAACACCCACAACATGGCTTTCAAGTCCAGAAGCTGAGGATGCCGCCGTGTCCGCCTTGGGGCTGCTCTCTGTCACCCGGCCTGCATTGAGTTCCCTCTGTGATTGTGGCAGTAACATAGCACGGACACTGGGGGGCGCTCACAACTGCATTCAGCCCCAAAGGCCCAGAGCAATTTTTACCTCCTCTCCTTCCACAAACTCCAC